GCTCAGTGCCCTCCTTGGATAACGGTAGAAGAAACACTGCAGTGTTAAAATGTCCTTGTTGATATTAAAGGAATCAGTTTCTTCAGCTGGTGGAGATGTGTCTGTGCTTTTTAAAAAAGCTGGATGGATGTCAATTTATGTCCCAAAGTATCTAAAAGAATACCTGTTCTACCTGCTGGCTCAGGATGCTGAGTGGCTGAAAGATAAATGATCTGGTGTCTTTAACTCTGTCCCCACAGCACAACTCTTTGGTCTCTGTGACATTCAGTTCCAGGAAATTGTCACAAAAAACACGGTACTGGGGAAGAGCATCAGAGCCATTTGTGAGAGCTACCAGGGCCATATCGTCTGCATATTTGGTTCTTGCCCTTTTTAACAGCAGTTTGTTATCTGGAGTAGTCCCTGCTAATTTTAGACACGCTGTGGTGCAGCCCCTGATAAAGAAACCTGGACTCGATCCCACTGTGTTGGGGAATTTTAGGCCCATCTCCAAGCTGCCCTACTGTCAAAAATCTTGGAAAAAAATTGCTTATGCACAGTTAAATCTCTAATTATCGCCAAAATTTTCATTTTTATTGAAGCCAGAATGTCCGACTTCAGGGCCAACCTTCAGGGGTGACCCATCAGACTCTCTGGTGTCTGGTGAGGGCGGAGCTGAATCCCTGGTTCTAGAAGCACTGTGACTCGATGCAGTGTCAGGCCCAGCAGTCGCAGAACCCGTAGTCTTAAATTTCTTTACTTTTGATGTCATTTTGCAGCTCTGCTGAGTCAGTTATACGACACCGTCGATTCCTGGAGCATCCAACACAGAGGCAGCGAGAATATCCTCCCGGAAGGCAGCTTTGAGTTAGTAATGGTGGGAGCCCAGCTAAACGCAACCTAACATGCAGCCGCCATCTTGTCCCTAAACTGGAACACTTTTCAAAAGAAAAATCCCACTATCATATCACCTTAAAACCAGAACTGAAGTCCAGTAAACTGTTTCAGATTCAGTCCTCTGCTGGACTCACCTTCATCCTCTTTCGTTTTTCTTTGTTTCTCCTCTTAAAGTTTTCCTGCAAGATGAAACATGGCACTTTAAACAAACCTGAGTTTATAAAGCTCAAACTGAACGACAAGAGGAAGACAGCAAACTCTTACATCATCCTCTTTGCGTTTCTTGAAAATGTTATCCTCAGCAACGCCCACAGCCTGCATGATCATCTCGACTCGCTCAAGGTTCACGAAGCCGTTCTGCGTCAGGTAGCCCTGCAGACAAACACCTCACATGTAAGGAGAAGGTCTTTCCTGGATCAAACAGAGAACTGAAGATACTCACTCCAGTTTTATGAACAACATCTTTGTAGATGCCGACCAGTCGATCTATAGCTCCCTCTCTGGAACAAAAAACAACCATGAGCCGTAAAAAAATTCCAGTATATTCACAGAAAAATTAACTTGAATAGAAATCAGCTGAAACCTCATCAGGACCCTAAAGCGAGCAGTGATTTAAAATGCTAATTGTAAAAGGTTCTGATTAAAATGTCAGCGTTCATTGAGAGGATCAGAGACAAGCTCCAAGGATTATCTGATTAACTACAACATAATCTTCAAATATGCCTCTAACTGCTTCATCTTTACAGGACGTGAAATGCCAAAAACCTTTAGACTTCTGTCTCAAATACAGTGGGGCAAAAAAGTATTTAGTCAGCCACTGATTATGCAAGTTCTCCTGCTGAGAAATATGAGAGGTCTGTATTTTTCATCACAGGTGCACTTCAACTATGAGAGACAAAATTAAGAAAAAAATCCAGGAAATCACATTGTAAGATTTTTAAAGAATTTATTTGTAAATTATGGTGGAAAATAAGTATTTGTTCAATAACAAACATGCAAGATTTCTGGCTCTCACGGACCTGTAACAACTTTGTTAAAAAGCTCTTCTGTCCTCCACGTATTACCTGTATTAATGGACCAATTTGACCTCGTTATTTGTATAAAATACACCTGTCCACAGTCTCAAACAGTCAGACTACAAACTCAACCATGGCCAAGACCAAAGAGCTGTCGAAGGACACCAGGAAGAAAACTGCAGACCTGTACCAGGCTGGGAAGAGTGAATCTACAATAGGCAGCAGGTTGCTGTGAATAAATCAAGTGTGGGAGCAATTGTATGAAAATGGAAGACATACAAGACCATTGATAATCTCCCTCGATCTGGGGCCACACGCAAGATCTCATCCCGTGGGGTCAAAATGATCATGAGGACGGTGTGCAAAAATCTCAGAACTACACGGAGGGACCTGATGAATGACCTGCAGAGAGCTGGGACCAAAGTAACAAAGGCTATACACTACACAGAGAGGGACTCAAATCCTGCAGTGCTAGGCATGTCCCCCTGCATGTCCAGGCCCATCTGAAGTTTGCCAGAGAGCATATGGATGATCCAGAAAAGGATTGGGAGAATATCATGAGGTCAGATGAAACCAAAATAGAACTTTTTGGTAAAAAAATCAACTCGCCATGCTTGGAGGAAGAAGAATGCCGAGTGTCATCCCAAGAACACCATCCCTACTGTGAAGCATAGGGGTGGAAACATCATGCTTTGGGGCTGTTTTTGTGCAAAGGGGGCAGGACGACTGATCAGTGTTAAAGGAAGAATGAACAAGGCCATGTATCATGAGATTTTAAGCCCAAACCTCCTTCCATCAGTGACAGCAATGAAGATAGAACATGGATGGGTCTTCCAGCATGGCATTGATCCCAAACACACAGCTCAGGCAACGAAAGAGTGGCTCCATAAAAAGCATTTCAAGGTCCTGGAGTGGCCCAGCCAGTCTCCAGACCTCAACCTCATAGAAAATTTGTGGAAGGAGTTGAAAGTCCGTGTTGCCCAGCGACAGCCCCAAAAGATCACTGCTCTAGAGGAGATCTGCAAGAAGGAATGGGCCAAAATAGCAGCTACAGTGTGTGCAAACCTGGTGAAAACTTACAGGAAATATTTGACTTGTCATTGCCAACAAAGGTTATGTTACAAAGTACTGAGTCTAACTTTTGTTATTGACCAAATACTTATTTTCCACCATAATTTACAAATAAATTATTTAAAAATCCTACAATGTGATTTCCTGGATTTTTTTTCTTAACTTGGTCTCAGTTGAAGTATACCCATGATGAAACTTACAGAACTCTCTCATCTTTCTCAGTAGGAGAACTTGCACAATCAGTGGCTGACTAAATACTTTTCCCCCACTGTATTTATGTTGGACAGAAAACCAACTTCCACTGTTTTAAAGTAGCTGTTGATAAATTAGCTGCTTCGTCTGATTTCTAACTCTCTTTTTTTTTTTCTCTTTTGGCTGCTCCCTGCGTTAGGGGTCGCCACAGCGAACTAAGTCGCACGAAGACTTGGCAGGTATTTTTACGCCGGATGCCCTTCCTGACGCAACCACAGCCTCTGTGTGGAGCAGAGAGCTGCTATCTAGGACACCCGGAGGAGTAGATGGTGGGGGTTAAGGGCCTTGCTCAAGGGCCCAGAGTGGGGGCAGGTGTGGGTGCTATACCTACCCCACCCACATTTTTAGAATCTGTTGGACTCCTGGCAGGGACCAATGCAGACATGTTCCTGTTTTTAGTTTTCCACATTCGCCTTAGAATCTAGCTGTTTTTTTGTTACCTTTTTCCTTTTAGCCATCCTATTTGTAAAAAATAAAAATAAAAAAAATAAAAAAATAAAAAACCTGTAGTATGACTTTTTATAATTGTTTATGGTTGTTGCTGTTGTCCATTGTTGTCATCTTTCTTTGTTGAAATCAGGTCTCTCTTGTAAATGAGTCCTCGAGGCTCAATGGGATTTACCTGTATAAATAAAAGTTGATTGATTTTTGATGTTGTCGGTACCGGGGCTTGAACCGGCGATCTTCCGATCACAGGTCTACCATCTCTAACCTCTGCGCCACCACTCCCCGATTTCAAACTCATTTAAATTTAAAAATTGCCTTCAATCCGAACAGTTAGACTGTATTTATATAAAAATAACTGAAGGTGACCACAGCTGTTTTGCTAGCAATAAAATAAGCATTAAAGCTCCTAATTATAATTCACCTGGGGACTAACAGATACCAACACATGTCCAAGTACATTCACAGCTACTTCCGGTAGCTATGATAAAATATAATAGTAGAATACCAACCGCTGATAAAATGAACACAAAGATTTAAAAAAAATCTAAATGAAGAATAATTTCTTTTTTTTTTTTCATTGGATATAGAGGCTGTTATGTGCTTTGGGGCACATTATTATTATTTTTGCCATTTTCTAGAGTGTTTTTGTTTATAAATTTTAGTTAAATGCTTTTTTGTCCCTTGAATATATTTTGGGGGTTTGGTTAATTATATATCTTTTGTAATTAATATTTGGTTGTTTTGAGCTGTGGCGTTTTCCGCCTGCCTATAAATAGGATGGTATTCGGGAGCTCACGCTCTCCTTTATCTCTCGCTCATTCCGACACCAGGATGCATCACGATGGTGTAGGCCGCAGCCGCTGGCCTCAGCTTGACATACGGTAGTTTTTGTCAGCCTTAGTTTTTTTTGTTGTGGTTTTGGCCTGCTAGGACCAGTTGTTCTGTTTTCACTTCTTTCTTTTGATCTAGGCTCTTTGGGGATTTTTTTCCTAGTTTTAGTCCGGTAGTAGAAGTGACTTCAATTGCCCTGTATAGGTTTGGCCCCCTGCTGTACCTTTGTGTTCTGTATGACCAGCTCACCAGGTCCATCTTTCTGTTAATACTTTGGAGTTTTTGGTTGGACACGGGAAGTGAAGGTTGCTAATCTTCTCTTTTTCCTCACAGAAAGCGGCTGAGTGAACGAAAGTTTCACGGAAAAACATGGAGAGAATAAGAACTTAAATAAATTGAATGTTTGAACCCTCATGTCTCACTAAAATCTCACTACTATTCAGTATCTTTCAACACCAGATGATCTGTGTTTTGATCCTGTATGCTCCACACTGGTTTGTCGTCATTATCTGCATCGTTTATTGTCTATATTCTGATTTACCTCATTTTGTATTTTGCTTTGTTGTTCTGTCTGTACAGCACTTTGGTTGGCCTTGTAGCCATTTTAAGTGCTTTATAAATAAAGCGGTATGGTATGGTATGTCTGTGTCCTCCTTAAATATGTTGTGCCCTTTAGGACGTAACCAAGGCCAGTCAGTGATGGAAACAAATCTAAACAAAAGGCAAAAAAGGCTTAGATTCAAAGAACCAAAAGTAGAAATTAATATATCTGAACCACAATGAATCACAAAATACTAACTCTGAGAATGAGCGTTAGTGTCTGTAAAAAGTTCCATTATATACTCCATCTAAAAGGAGTTGCAATAATTATAATAATGAGAAAAAGACTTTGATGGTTCTATCAGTTTTTCATTCACTTCTATGCCCAGATCTGTGGAAAATGAAATCCATCAAAACGAATCTCAATCAGGAATAATGAACTTTAAACTCTGGTAGCATTACCATGGTACCACAGAGAGGAAATTCACACAAAAAATGTGGAAAAATGCTCCCATAAAAATCAATGTGACTAACTTTGTGCTATTCAAACTTCAACATTTTTACAAACAAAATAGTCTTATTTCCACAAACTTCTCCAGTCTTTCAATTCAGTTTTCAGTCTTTCTGTCTTCTTCCTCCCAGTGTCTCTAAGCTGCAGGACTGATCTGTTCTAGAATTGCACCGCTCAGGGTGGCTGCATGTTGGAGTAGCTCCGTTACATTCATTATACCATACCACACCATACCACTTTATTTATAAAGCACTTAAAACAGCAACAAGGCCAACCAAAGTGCTGTACAGACAGAACAACAGGTAACACACAAAGCAATATAGAAAATGAGGTCAATCAGAATATAGACAAAAAACGATGCAGATAATGACGACAAACCAGTGTGGAGCATACAGGATCAAAACACAGATCATCTGGTGTTGAAAGCTACTGAATAGTAGTGAGTTTTTAAACGGGACTTGAAAACCGAGAGGGAGGGGCCCTGTCTGATAAGCAGAGGTAACTTGTTCCAAAGTCTTGGTCCTGCTACAAAGAAGGCCCTGTCACCTCTGCGCTTAAGACGAGTTCCTGGAACTGTGAGGAGCAACTGGTCCGCTGACCTCAGGGAACGTGGTGGGACATACGGTTGTAGCAGATCAGAGAGATGGGGGGGCGACACTGTTCAGTGATTTGTAGACATACATTATTTTGAACTGGATTCGAAGGTGAACCGGTAACCAGTGCAGTGAGGCCAAAACTGGTGTAATGTGCTCTCTTTTGCCTGTACTGGGTAAAAATGGGGCTGCTGCATTCTGGACCAGTTGTAGTCGTGCAATGGAGGTCTGACTGATACCAAACAGGAGTGAATTGCAGTAATCAAGCCTAGATGTAATGAATGCATGTATTACTGTCTCCAGGTTATTTTTGGACAATATGGGCTTCAGTTTAGACAGCCGCCTCAGTTGGAAGAAACATGATTTAACATTCATGTTTACATGATTGTTAAGTTTCAGGGAAGGGTCCATTATCACGCCCAGATTAGTGACTCTTTGATTTTCTGACAGGGTTAGAGCGGAGAGGTCGATGCAGTGGTTTGTGATCGTGTCGTTGGGAGGGAACAACATGACTTCAGACTTCTTTTCATTGAAACTCAAGAAGTTTAAAGCCATCCAGTCCCTGATGTCTGCCAGGCAGTTGAGCAGAGGTTGAATAGAGCATGTACCATTGTGTCTTAGGGGGAAGTAAATTTGACAGTCATCGGCATAGAAGTGGAAGGGCATGTTGTGTTTCCGGAAAATAGCACCAAGCGGCAGCAGGTATAAAGAGAATAGGAGGGGACCCAGGATGGACCCCTGCGGAACCCCCCATTTAAGCTCTGCCACTGCGGAACTAAAATCCTTGATGGAGACACAAAAAGATCCGTCAGTGAGGTAAGATCTGAACCAATTGAGGGCTGATCCTGTGACGCCCACCCACTGCTCCAACCTAGCAATGAGGATCTCATGGTCGATGGTGTCAAAGGCGGCTGTGAGATCCAACAGGACAAGCAGCACAGAATCACCAGTATCTGTGGATCTGAAGATGTTGTTAAAGACCTTCAGCAGGGCAGTTTCAGTGCTGTGCAGAGGTTTAAAGCCAGACTGGAAAAGCTCTAAGATGGCGTGATCCTCCAGGAAGCACTTCAACTGGGACTCGACCATTTTCTCCAGTACTTTAGAAACAAATGGGAGTTTGGAGACAGGCCGGTAGTTGGACACGAGTGAGGGGTCAAGGTTTGGTTTTTTCAGGAGAGGCTGGACAGCAGCATGTTTAAAGAATTTTGGCACCACGCCAGTGGATAAACTACTGTTTACTATAGCAAGAATGGGCGGACCTAGAGTTGGAAACACCTCCTTTAGTAGTCGAGGGGGGACCACATCAAAGGGGGAGCCAGAAGGTTTCAAGCTGCACATGACCTGCTCTAGAGAAGATAGTGATGGGTTCAAAATGGTCAAAATGAGCTACAGATTGAGGTGGGATGGATGTGTCATGAGTTGGAGGGGAAATGAGAGCCCTGGTGGTCGCAATTTTTTCCAAAAAGAATAGTAAGAAGTTGTCGCACAGCTCAGTCGAGGCTTCCAGAGGTGATGGTTCAGTGAGGTGGAGAACAGAGTTTAAGGTGGAGAAGAGGACACATGGGTTGTGAGAGTTTGAGGTAATTATATCAGAGAAGAATTTTGATTTAGCAGCTATTATGAGTTATCGTTTTTGAAAACTTGAATTCTTCTGGATGTAAATTGCTTTTTTCGGACGATTACTTCCTCTGGTATCTGATACTGTGCAGCTGGAAGGATTTTTACTGAAATCTTTTGACTTTTGGGCATTTGTTATGATGTGTAACCATGGCAACAACATGTTTAACAACCAGGAGCAGCTGATTAACATCTCAAAAGTTCAAATACCTCAACTACAGCCCCAAATCCCAAATGAGTTGAAAAGGAGGTGCCATGGATGAATTCCTGTCATCTGGCGACAGTGCCTGATCACCGAGATCCTGGAGCTGGTGGGAAACTCGGCTCGTGACAATGGAAGGACTGCGATCATCGCCAGGCACCTTCAGTCTGCCAATCCGGACAGATCCAGATATTGGTGCAGTCACCAATATCCCTATGCCAGCTGTAGTCACTGATGTCCCTATGTGCCACACCCTCTGCCGGCATCTGAGCAGTCCTGCTGCCCAGGAGGACCAAGAGGCCTGCCGGATCTGACAGCAAGCTGGATCCGGGTAGACAGATAGGTATCTGTGGCCAGATTCTTCAGATTCACTTCAGGAGATCCTTCCTGCCCACAGCTATTAGCATCTATAACAACTTTTGAATGAAACCAGGATGATGAGCTACGACAACACTTAATTTCCCTTTGGAATAAATAAAGTATTTTTGAATTTAATTGAAATTAATTGATGGTTTCTTCTCAGAGATCACACACCCAAACTCCCACTGACTTCCATCATATCAGAGCTCAAAGTTGTCTCTTTTATCTTGTCATATCTCCTCTATCAAATCATGCAGAACAATCAAACAGAATTTATGGTACCATCAAAATCTTGTGCTGCTCACTGGTCCAAAAAGTTCTTTGATCTGATTTCTAGTTTTCACACAGAGGCTGTTTGTCTGAGGCTTACATTTTACTCAGTGTTTCTGCCTAAAGTGCTGCCCCTTTCCCTCAATCACCATGGTAACCAGTGACTTATCAGGTTCTGGGTCTTCTAGATTACCCAGCATGCTCTTATTCCTTCTCTGTCTTCATCATGGCCACTCACAAAAATCCTTCATGTCCTCTCTACTCATACCTTTGATGTTCAGGAAAATTAAGTCAAAGGGTTAGCAGGAAACGGGAAGAAAACTGAACCCGGAGTTTCAAAATGAAGCTCTGAGATACTTTTCAAAATAAACGTCTGTCTCTGTCTAAACTTGCATTTCTGGTGGGCTTCAGAGAAGAATGTTGGAAGTTCAGGCAGAAGCTGTGTTGGAAACATTCAACATTTTTGCAGTTTTATTTTCTTCTATAATTTAAAGCTCCTTCATCGATAAAGTTTTTAATCTGTGACACAGTTTTAGGGTCCATCTGCAGATCACCTGGTCAAATAATCAGTTAGCAACTCACCTGATCTCTAAGGATGGAAGATGAGGCAGGAAGTCATTTCCTACAAAGAAACACATGAAGACCCAGTCGTCCACACTCCTCTCAAAGTCGAAGGTAAAGGGTAGGCTGGCCATGGTCAGCTCTCTGGCCAAGTACTGAAAACATAAGAGAGACCACAATCAACTAGACAAGCAAACAATTAGAAACTAGCAAACCAAACAACCAGCCATTCAGTCAGCAAACACATTAATCATTCAACCAAAAAGAAAACCAAACTAATAATCATCCATCCAATCAAAGATTTTTGGAGGTCTGAGATAAGAAATAGTTGCGTTTTGCTGCTTTGACAGCAGTTGTGCATTTATTCCTCATCTGTTGAAAACTCAACCAATCAGTGTCTGAGTCATATTTTCTCGCTGTGGCCCAAAGATGATCTCTCCTGTGCAGGAGGTCAGCTAGCTCTGGAGTAAACCAGGGGCTGTCTCATCCCTTTATTCTGAACTGACGAAAAGGAGCATGTTTGTTCACAAAATAAATGAAACTATTATGAAAATAGTTCCAAGCAGAGTTCACGTCGTCAATTAATAGAATACGATGCCAGTCAAAGTGAGACAGATCCCAGAGGAATGACTGTTCACAAAAATGTTTCAGATCCCTTTTTTGAATTAATCTGGCTTAGAAGGTGGAAGTTTAATATCTCTCAAAGCAGCTGTCACACAATGATCACTCAAAATATCAGCGAATACACCTGTACCAAGGAATTTGTGAGGCATATTAGTTAGAAACAGGTCTAAGATGGAAGATTTTTCAGGACGGTTTTTGTTTAATCTAGTGCAAGAGTCGATCAATTGGGTAAGATTGAGAGACAGGCAACATTCCTTGAATTTATCACAGAGGGGGGTCGACTTACACCAATCAATGTTGAGGTCTCCAGCCAAAAGGATCTATTTGAATTTTAAATTACCAAGAAATTCCATCAGGGCAGACAGAGCCTCAGGTGTTGCTGAAGGTGGGCAGTAACAGCAGACTACAGATAATATATGGCCACCATTCAAGGTGATGTCTACAGCTAAGGCTTTAAACTGGTTTGGAATTGTTTTAGAAGACACAAGACTAGCAACCAAAGAATCTCTGATGTAAACAGTGACACCCCTCCCCCCCTTTTTGACAATCACAGCGGTAATGTTAAATCCATTGATTGCCAGGTCATTATTGAGTACAGATTTGTTGAGCCAGGTTTCAGAGATCAAGATTACATCTGCCCCAGAAGAACTGACCAGAATTTTCAAAGCATCCAGTTTTTTCAGAAGGCTACGAGTGTTTACATGCAGAAAATGAAGTCCTGAGGCGTTTTTAAAGTCATTTGTTGTGCTGTAATTAGTGGGGGGTCCAGGGTTGGGCTGAATCCCTGAGAGCAGTAACAACATTATTATCAGACATTTCCTTGAGTTTTTTGTGACTGATGTGTAATTACAGGAGTTAACAGTGTGACAATTAGCCCCCATAATCGAACCATCTGAAACATTAATGAAGACGCGATCATTCAGAACCAAAAACAGTGAAAGTTGCAGTGATGGGCAGATCCAGGTGTATTAACAAGATTCAGTGGCTCCAGATAATCTGAGAACTGAAAATAGTGACAATAATATGAATGATGCAGAAAAGTCTCAGACCATAAAATGTCACAGTTCAAATGGGCAAACAAACCCGACGAGGCGGCCCAACTGCAGTTTGAGTTGGGCTGAGGGGGGCTCCGGCCCCCCAGTGAAGATGGATGGATGCTCCCATGGGAAACAGAAGCTGGGTCCAGAATAAACAGGCCGAAACAGAAACAGATAATTTGCAGCAAATAGCAGAGCGAGCTGCCAGAAAATCCTCCTGAAGTGAAAGGCATGATCCTAGCTCGTTTCAGGTCAACAGGGGCCAACAGCGTGATCCGTAATAAAAATAATTATTATCCAGGTGAGTTTGGATGGAGGCCTGAGCAACTCCGATACAAACTCCGTACTTCTCTCGAGCACCACGCAGCCCTGCTCCTTCACGCTGCTCCTCCACGCTGCTCCTCCGCTTCTCTGCACGTCACCTCCGCACCCGACAGCACAAGAGGCACCCCCGGTGAAAAACGAGACTGACCGGAGAGGCTGAAGTCGACACTGGTCCGGTCCGGTTCTGCTCCAGTCCGGCTCCGGCGCTCCACAGCACGAGAGACAAAGAGGCTGAAGATGTCCCTGGCCCGGTTCTGCTCCGGTCCGGCGGCCCGGTCCGGCGGCCCGGTCTGGCGGCGCTTCAAAGCATCGGAGCGACTCCTCCAGGTGAACACAGCGATTCCACGGAGGTGGACAGTCCTTCGATAAAAGTAACGGGCTGCTCACTGAAGCTGAGACTGGCCCTGTTGAAGACGAAGTCCCCCACAGCCACCTCGGTTCGGTTCTGATCCAGTTCGAGGGTCACAGGTACACTTCCACCACACCTATGGAGACACCACGAGGGCCAGTCCAGCAGAAAATCAGCGAAATACCACCCGGTGATTTTTGTCGGAACCAAGTAGAACCACAAAGGTCCAGATGAGAGATCGTTGAGGTCCAGAGAGAGAGAGAAAAGACACCAGACCTTCGTGCGACGACTCCCCAGCTCGAGGGGTCACCTGGCCGGCAGGGTGCGCTCAGAGTGACCGGTGGGGTGGGAGCAGCCGGTCCTGGACCAAAATATATTTTCGGACGGTCCCGTCCGGCTCTCTGAGTCACTGAACACCGAATTCGGTTGAAAGGGGGACCAACTTTAGTCTGGTTAAAAAAAAAAAGGGTCAGTTTGATGATAAAAGACTGCAGAGAAGCCGGAGGGAGCTGCCATCTATCAGCTCGCCGGAAGTGAAGTGAAGTGAAGTCAAATCCTGCCTTTACACCTAAAAGCATAAATATCCTGATGCATGCTCAATAATCAATGTAGAAAAATCTAAAAAAGTTAAATCAGGTCCTCTGGACATCCAAAAACAAAACAAAGCAAAACAAGAACAAAAAAAAAAAAATGTAGAAACGTTTCGTCTTTCATCCGAAAGACATTCTCAGTCTGAGGTGCTGCATTCAGCTCAGTCTTATAAATAGCACCTTCTCAGAGTTGATCAACCAGTTTGCTGCTGACAACCAAAACCAGCTGCTCACATGATCAAGAAGGACCATAAGCCTAACGATGGACAGTAAATGAGTCCAATAAATCTAAAAAGTTTTTAACCAAGGGCTTCTCCTGATAACAAACATGAATATTTAAGTCCCAAATTATCAATACATGATCATATTTTGATGTGATTTCAGCCAAGAACTTAGAAAATTTATTTATGAAATCATTGGATCGAGGGTGACGGTAAACAAGTGCGCACAGAGTCGAAGGCGAATGGCCGAGTTCAAAGACGCTCAGCTCAAAACTGGAGCAGGAAACCGGGATGGGCAGTTGTTTACAGCCTGATTTGATTTGAACATTGTTAATAATCCACCACCATGCCAGCCTGATGGCCGCGGGGCGTTAAAATACAGAAAGTCCAGGGGTAATAATTCCGTCAAGGCGCTGGACTCACCAGGAGACATTCAAGTCTCTGTGATGTAGAGAAAGTCCAAATCGTGCTCTTGAAAGTAGTCCCTGAGGATAAAAGTTTTGTTGATAACGGATGTTGCATTGACCAAACACATCCTGATACAGCCCAAAGTGGACCCAGTAGCGGTGGAGGGAGCACGCGCCAGCGGCCAAAGATTTTGAACATAAGCACCTCCAGGTTGGGTCGTGTGCCATGCCAGTAGACAACTCCTGTTGTTTACATGTCAGGGCGCATGGGTAGCTGGCCAACAGCAGGCAAGGATCAGATCCACATCCAGAAAGAGCCCCAGCATCCTTGACAGAATAATCCACACGGTGCCTCATTTTCACCAAAACTCCAGCGTGCTTTCCCTGACGTCTGCGGCGTCTCCTCCGGGGAGATGGGCCAGGATCACTAAGCAGGAAGGCTGGTATCCCAGACAGGACCGGAGGGAGAGTCCCGACCACTGTGAAGAAGCTCCGCAGGCAATTTTACAAATGTACGGAGCTCCAAAAGTGCCCGACTATCATATATGCGTCGACAAACTGCAAAACACACTATAAAACAAATAAAAACAAAATCAAAGCAGAGAGCAATGTACGGCAAGCCCTACAAACCGGCACCATCTTGCTTCCTCCTCCTATATACAGTGCCTTGCGAAAGTATTCGGCCCCCTTGAACTTTTCAACCTTTTGCCACATTTCAGGCTTCAAACATAAAGATATAACATTTGAATTTTTTGTGAAGAATCAACAACAAGTGGGACACAATCGTGAAGTGGAATGAAATTTATTGGATGTGTCAAACTTTAACAAATAAAAACTGAAAAGTGGGGCGTGCAGTATTATTGGAGCAAACTCAGTCCAGAAGTTCAGTAAGGATCTATGGATGATCCAATGTTGTCCCAAATGACTGATGATGATAAATAGAATCCACCTGTGTGTAATCAAGTCTCCGTATAAATGCACCTGCTATGTGATAGTCTCAGGGTTCTGGTCAAAGTGCAGAGAGCATCATGAAGACCAAGGAACACACTAGGCAGGTCCGAGATACTGTTGTGGAGAAGTTTAAAGCTGGATTTGGATACAAAAAGATTTCCCAAGCTTTAAACATCCCAAGGAGCACTGTGCAAGCAATCATCTTGAAATGGAAGGAGTATGAGACCACTGCAAATCTACCAAGACCCGGCCGTCCCTCTAAACTTTCATCTGGAACAAGGAGAAGACTGATCAGAGATGCAGCCAAGAGGCCCATGATCACTCTGGATGAACTGCAGAGATCTACAGCTGAGGTGGGAGAGTCTGTCCATAGGACAACAATCAGTCGTACACTGCACAAATCTGGCCTTTATGGAAGAGTGGCAAGAAGAAAGCCATTTCTCAAAGATATCCATAAAAAGTGTTGTTTAAAGTTTGTCACAAGCACCTGGGAGACACCAAACATGTGGAAGAAGGTGCTCTGGTCACATGAAACCAAAATCCAACTGTTTGGACACAATGCAAAACGATATGTTTGGAGTAAAAGCAACACAGCTCATCACCCTGAACACACCATCCCCACTGTCAAACATGGTGGTGGCAGCATGAGTTGAGAGTTTAATTAAAGGTTGTTTTTCTGACTATTTAATCTTGTTATATTGTGATATAAAGTGCTTTTTGTTTTTTGCATGTTGTTGTGAGTTACCCAGAGGCCTGAGGAGGAGGCCCGGCCCGCCTCCTCCTGCACGCTATCTGGAGGTTCTCTCACCCTAGCTTCTCACGCTCCCTCGTTATCTAGATTTTTTTTTTAAGCTTCTCACGTTCTCATGACATCTCAAGGGTTTTTCACAGACTCTAAAATCCAGGTGGGCATGTTGTCTTTACGGGGAGATATTCCCATGTGATGTAGAGAGTATAAAAGTGTAACACTCAGGAAAAGAGTTGAAGTCTGCTGTGGATTCTGGATCCGATGCCCAGCTTAATTGATGTTACCTTTCTACTCGGACTGAAAACGGCTTCCTCGGTCTGGTGTCACGGTGAGGGGTCTTTACATCAATGCTTGATTTGTACTGAATGTACGTTGCTTTGCTGTATCTGTGGCGGTTTAATAAATGACACTTCTTATTCTAGCAGAATACAGCCTGAGAGTTTTTATTCATTGCTCCGACCTTTCCCTGAACCTGTATCTATCTTGTTAAAGATAATTTCATAGAACACAGCATCATGGTTTGGGCCTGCTTTTTGTCAGCAGGGACAGGGAAGATGGTCAGAATTGATGGGAAGATGGATGGAGCCAAATACAGGACCATTCTGGAAGAAAACCTGTTTGAGTCTGCAAGAGACCTGAGACTGGGACGGAGATTTATCTTCCAACAAGACAATGATCCAAAACATAAAGACACATCTACAATGGAATGGTTCACAAATAAACATATCCAGGTGTTGGAATGGCCAAGTCAAAGTCCAGACCTGAATCCAATCCAGAATCTGTGGAAAGAGCCGAAGACTGCTCTTCACAAACGCTCTCCATCCAACCTCACTAAGCTCCAGCTGTTCTGCAGGAAGAATGGGCAGAACTTCAGTGTCTCCATGTTCAAACCTGATGGAGACAAACCCCAAGAGGCTTGCAGCTGGAACTGCAGCAAGAGGCGGAGCTACAGAGTATTAACGCAAGGGGCCCAATAATATCGCACGCCCAACTTTTCAGTTTTTTTATTTGTTAAAAAAGTTTGACACATCCAATAAATTTCATTCCACTTCAAGATTGTGTCCCACTTGTTGTTGATTCTTCACAAGAAATTAAAATTTTATATCTTTATGTTTGAAGCCTGAAATGTGGCAAAAGGTTGAAAAGTTCAAGGGGACGAATACTTTCGCAAGGCACTGTGTGTGTATATATATATATATATATATATATATATATATATATATATATATATAGTTTAGTTAGTTTAATTTGATAATTTTAATAATTTATATTCTTTTTATTTAACAGAAACTTTAAAATAAATTCTCACCCTGTACTGAAACCTGTTTCAAGGTCTTACCACCACCGTAGACGTTAATTTGAACCCGCCCACAAGAATCAGTACTGAAAGTATAATGGAAACACAATGTATACCGTACCGAGCCGAACCATGCTGTACCGGTATTAAAGGTATTAGTTGAAAAGGGGCATTAGCTCGCTGTGGCAACCCCTGAAGAAAGGAGCAGCCGAAAGAAGAACAATAAATAAATAAACCCAACAATGTTCAGTCAGGTCATCTGGACGTTTTTTTTGTTTGTTTGTTTGTTTTGTGCTGAGACGTCTTGCCCTCCATCCGGAAGGCTTCATCAGTTTGAGAAAACATCAAACAAAACTGATTCTCCTTCAACAGCTTACTCCAAAGTGAAAAAAAAAAAACCTGTTCTGTTGGTGCTAAGATGGCCTCTGGGGCACACCCCCTCCTCCGGTGCTTGCCCTGTCCCTCGTTGACAGTCAAGTCAAACTGGTTCAAAACACCAAAGTCCATGCTCAGTAATCCAGGTATAAAATCCAACAATGTTCAGTCAGGTCATATGGACCTGACTGACAAAATAAAATAAAGTGACACACATCTTTAATATAATTTTGGGCATACAAACAATCTTTTAGTGTTAAAGTTTAATTCAAGAACTAAAGGAGCAGAAACAACAACAAATCAAACTAAGACAGACACTTAAAACAGGCAGTGCATGCTCCCGCGGCGACACAACGGCTCACATGACTTTTCCACGTCGACCTCTTAGGATTTTACATCTTGCAAAATCCTTCACCAGTATGATGGCCCACAGGTTGCAGCCGTGCTCTTAGGGTGCATTCACACCAGCCCTGTTAAGTCCACTTTAATCGAACTCTAGCTCGTTAGCCTAGAAAGTCCGGTTCGTTTGGGGAGGTGTGAACGCGCCATCAAACTCTGTCACGGAACAAAAAGGCGAACTCTGGCCCGGGCTAAAACCTAGGTCTCGGTCCGGTAGAAGAAAACTCCAGCGCGGTTCCAGTACAGTGTGAATGTAAACAGACTGGGCCCCGCTCCTCAAGCAGGAAGTGGAGTACAATGCAGGACAAACACACATTTCTCTGACCTCATATGGAGCCGTCAGCTGCCTTGTGTGAAAAACAATATTCTCCATGGTCTTCTGTCTCATCTTCTGCTCATGCTGAGTCCATTGTTGAAAAATGACAAAATATAACTCCTAAAACTGCTAAAACTTGATGCCACTCCGTTTTTATTTTTATTTCCAGAAGAAGAAGAAGACGTGTCTTCAGAGGTTTTTGTGTTGTTTATTTCAGTAGTTCTTGGTGCAGCGCCCCCACAGGCGAGTGGGGGAACAGGTTGGTTCAACAGGTTGACTCGACTGCACAGTGCAGTGTGAATGCAAACGCACCAGCTCAAATGTAACAAAAGGTCATGAATATTGGTCCCCAACCGAACAGAGTCTACCGGACTATCAGGTGTGAAAACCACCTTAATTCCTCATTTTTCAGCCACTTTAGCTGGAGTTTGCATTTACCCATTTTGGTTCTGCTCATAAAGTTTTCCTGTTTTCCCTTGAACTCGCAATCTTCTGAAAATTGAGCACAAACCAGCCAGAAACTACTAATAATTGTTCCGCTTTTTATTCTAATAAATCACCCTGATGAGCGAGTCCAGCTGAGTGTTTTCCAAAATTAATCTTCATTTTTCGTGGAATCCAATAAAAAATATTTAATGCCTGACATCCAAACTTAATGTTGTTTAATCAATCAATCAATCAATCAATCA